CCTTGTACATTTCCACCACTTGAGGAGCTCATTGTGGCGATGCGCTCTTTATGTAAATGATGGTAATAGTCTGCTTATCTCAGGTGCTCTTATTTGCTCTGATGAGTTATATTTGCTGTGATGGTAGCCCGGTTCAATAGAGATTTCTTTTTATGCGACATATAAAAATTTATAGGTACTGATAAAAGAATATTGCAAACCTCGGGTTCCATGTAACCTTTGTTAGGATATTTCTTAATTTTCCATTTCTTGGGAATATGGACCACTGAACCATGTCATCTATATTTATTGATACTATATAAATAGTAATAGGTGTGGTAGGTAATGTTAAATGAACATAAAAAAATAATGAAACATTGTACTTGATGAACCTATTAAGAACTTCATCATATCGTCATATCAGAGTTAAATTGTCCACTGCTGAACAAAAGCCTCCCTTTTGGGAGATTTTAACAGTAGTTGCCATGCTTGGCAGGCAGGTTGGCAACCGCAGTCAGGCTTTGGAGATGTTTTAAGAGGGATGTTATTAAGAACTTATTTGATGTTAAATTGGGGTTTATATTCAATTATTGTTTTTTAATATCATCGAATTATTATCATTGTATTTCTATAGATAAATATAGAATGACATACTTACGTACTGATGGATTCGCATTGAAAACATAATAAACGAGACAAGCCAATAGCTACATTAGTGTATGTGTTAGTAAATGTGTGCATGTGACAAATAAAAATTTATATGCAATTGAAGTTGCAAAAATAACAAAACTTTATTTGGATTAAATTAAATATATTTTTTTTTTACCAATGAATGTATCAGATATTGGTGTTAAATTTTGAAGCATTTTTACTTTTAAGTAAATAACTTTAAACTAATTACGCTACAAAATCTAAAAAGAATAATGACAATTATTTACATCATAATTACGACAATACATGTACCTGTTGTTATTGTAAATAGTCTGTGAAATGTAATTGATGTAATGTAAATGAGTCTAAATATGATATTTAAGATAAGCGAATGATCTTTTAATAATTAATAGTTTTGTTAATGAGTATTGATCTGCTTATTATTGAATTGTACAAAAGTACGGGTATTTATTGTATTTAGGACAGTAACAGTTTTGTGTGTCCTAGCATAGAATAGGCCATCTCTTCCTTTCACGTGGTGTGTTCTAAGATGCGACTAAGGGAAATTATGGTCGAGGTTTGGATAACAGCGTCCATCTTAAAACATTTCTAGAAGCCTAACTACGGTTGCCAACCCGTCTGCCAAGCGTGGCAACTACTAGTAAAACTCTCCTTATGGGGAAGTTTTATGTTCAGCAGTGGACAGTTAACGGCTGAAGTAATGAAAATTATAATAGTCTTGCGTGATCCGTTGAACCTTTATGGGTCACGATGTTTTTCTACACTATAAAGTAGTTATTATTATGTTTTAAATTAATTAATATATCATTTCTCCTAATTACCGTTTATTATATTAAATGAAGTAAATTTTCTGTAACACGTTGATTTTAAAAGAGTAACTGCTAAGTTTCTATTAGCTTCTTCTCAGCTGATATTCCGAAACTATATTAGAGTGTGAGAGTCATAAAAAGAATATAATAATAAAGAGATAATAAACGAGATTAATTAATGTGATCAATCTATACTTGTTGATTCACTTTTATATATGTATATATATATATTTAGTTAGTATTTCTTTAACACTTATAGGTCCAGTTTATACTCAGTGAAATCTTTACCTAGATAGTTAACACATAGTCAATATTTCAGCAGTATATAATCCATTCATTATTTATTATATAACAAATAATCATTTTATTGTTAAACATTATATTTTAATGTAACAACTAATCGAGCTTTCTCAATCTAATTATAAGTAAGTTAAAAAGGTAGTTATTACATTAAAGATAATTATTAACTTATTTTAGCAATCTAATTAATAATTATTTCTATCTTTGATAAAAGTTTTCTAGAAATCATATTAGAAAAGCTTAATGTAATTACAGTGTGTTCTACTATATAATAAATAATTTACTGACATACTTGTATACGTTATCGTATACGTGTCATATACGTTAGGAATTCTCTTAAATAAATTAATTTAAATCCCTAGATTGAATTTTGTGCACATGAATGAATATAATAACTTGATATAAACAATAATGTACACATACTCTTATATAGTCCCCATCTCTTACACTATTGAAGTGATGTAAAGTGGAAATATCTTGTACGAGGGTATCGAATATACCGCAAAGGAAACGTTGAAAGGATTTACTCAATTGGAAGTAATCGCTTTTTTCAGGTGATGTTGTTAGACGTGATTATTACTCAAGGTTTATCTCCAGTGTGTGTGTGCTCATCCGTATATATATTCAGTCATCATATATACTTAGTTTTCTTCACTAATGAAGTAAATAAGGATTAGGTGTATACTATACTGACTAACACAAATAATCATAATTATATAGAAATAAAAAGTGACCTTACTAAGTAATTTCTAGTAATAGAATGTAGATATTATATTTAATAGTAAAATAAATATAAAGCACTAAATATTTTCATTGAAGAAATGAAATCATATATTAAATAAAGAAGACGTGACTTAAATATAAATAATAGATAGATTCCAAAGGCCATTATTTTTAGAATATAATTTAAAAGATAATTTTTAAAATCGGATCATTAGTTCAGATATTAATCTCCCTAATTTCAGGTTGAGTACCTAAGTACCTACCTAGTAAGGGCGTGATTCAAAACCTTCAGTGGACACTTGTCTTTGATTAACGATAATACAAACATTAGTTTACAATACACACTGTCACTTCAAAGATAGTGATATTCAAAAAATTATGAAATCAGAAATTGTGTTTATAGTATTAAAATATTATATATTTACAGATAGAAAATCTCAAAGCTAACCTCATCGTTTAGTAACGTTTATCTAAAAAGGGAGACTTAACATTTTAATACCTAGTTTCTAAAATCAACCTTAGTAGGTATTAAAATATACTGCTTTGGGTTTAATAAAATGTTGAAAGACAATATTTATAGTAGAAACGGTACTTACCAATATCATATTACAAATAGAAACTTGAAAGATCCTAATTTAAAAATATTTTACAAGATTATGTTGGAAAGAACCATAAGGCAATCTATGAGTATCTGAAAAGGAAGCCATTTAAGTAGTTTCTAAGAATATTTTGAGCGGCCGTGAGGAATTTCAATCCCTTAATCAGAGACCTCTCCTATTTCCATAACGTAATATACAATGCATATTTGTATATGAAAAGTGTAATCTACCAATACTTAATTAAATATATAACTTACCTATTTAATGAATGTATCTATTCTTAATAATAGAGACTCAAAGTAGACATAATGTATACGCAATATAACATAGTGTACATTTTCAAAAAGAAATACTTTTCGTTTACTCTTTATTCCAATAGATAGTATATTGGATTAAAAAATTCGATTTATTTTATACTTTAAAAATATGCAATTTTAATAGAATCATTCTTAATTTTTATTAATGCTGTTGAAGGATGGAAGTTACAAATTGATATAACAGTGAAACTAAGATTCTCCCAATGTTGAGAAATGGGGATATAGTGGTCTGAAAGAGACTTTTAAAGTTGACATATACTGACTATAACTGACGACGGTTACGCGGAAGTAGTCGCTGCTATAGCTAGTTGCATGTAAGAAGATATAGATCTTCAAAGAGTATCTCCTGTGGATGAGACGGAACGTGCTGTTTCAATATGTTGAGTGCTATTTCGTAAACTGCTGAGTAAAATGTTTGCTTTGCAGATTTTACCAATACAAACAAAACGCACTAGAGTGCATTTTCATGGTTGGTTCGTGCAAACAGAGAACTTTAAAGCAAATTTAAAAGTTTGCTTTGTTCGGTTTCCAATTGGAGTATCGTTAAAATCTTTAAACGGTAGATAGAGGAAGGATTAAAGAAATGTAATAGGATAGAAAGACTGTAATCCTAAATGGGGTCGACAGAGATATTTTGTCGATTGTACTCGATGTATCCTACGAGAAGTTTTATTAAATTTGTAACTATATATTGAATTGAAGGCGTATTTTAGATTAGTAAGGTATTTGCCATTATTGGAGAGACAATAAAAAATTTAAATATATATACTAGCTTTATTTATCAGGTAGTATAGAATTAGTCACTATCGTTACATTCTGAATCGAAATAGTAAGGCATTAAGCCAGGGTACTCTATAGTGTACAATATTGTATGTGCAGTTCAGATAACAGAGAATGAGTTTTTTTGAGAGAATATATATTCTATTCCATGTCGATAGGAAAAATCAATTTCATAATAATAAAAAAATATTATTTAATAATTAATATATTAATAAAATTCAGCAATAATTAGAGATACATTGAAAATAAATATAATAGAAGCATGACCCTACAGGAGTGCCTGTATGCAATAATTCAAATTACACAGCATGTCATGGAGAAGATTGTGTTCGGAGTTTCTTTGTATGACAGAATTCGAAATAAAAATATTCACTAAAGAACCAAAGTCACTGATATAGCTTAAAGTATAAGCAAGTTGAAGTAGCAGTGGGCTGATTATATAACTTAAAGAACTGACAATTGATGGGGAAGAAAGGGTTTCAAGTGACAACCCCGTACGGACAAACGCTTCGTAGGGCGACTCCCACTAGATGGACTCACGAGCTCAAATGCATTGCAGGGAGTTAGTACTACTAGATACTAGTTGTTCAGGAGCCTTCCCTATGGCAACCTTTGGGGGAGGTCTATGTTCAGCAGTGGATACATAATGGCTGAGACGGTGATGATAGTAGTTGCATTTACTTACTACGAAAGAAATATACCATTAATAATACTTAGAAAATAGTTTGCATAACACAAGCAACACATATATTAAAAAATAAAAGCCATAAAAACTTCACTACAAAGGTATCGAATATATTTAAAATATGACAGATAACATTTGAAAAAAATTTTGTATAAAACACAGAAATATCTTAAATTATAAGTAATTATTTTTTTTGTAAGAAAAAAGCAAATCATACAAAAATTGCATATACAAAATACACTAAAATATGGATTACTGTTATCCTGAAGATTGTAGCGAATTCGCTGTAACTCCGATGTTAACTGCTCCTTGTTATCAAACGAAATCTGAAGAACTACCGCTATGTTATGCTTGTATGCCAGAATGCCCTAAAGGTCGGTTCGTATACTGTTCCGAGAAAAGACTTCCGAAAACTCCGCCAAGAACTCCGAATCGTTATTCAAAAAAGCAAAAAGATTGCGATGATCTTAATAGTCGATCGTATCATGGTCACGATAGTTCTTATCGACGTAGAAATTTGTCGCCGTGTGCTCCACAAAGTTATTGTCCCACCTGTTGTCAATCAACGTGCAAACCTATCAAAACTAAATACGTTATACCGTGTTATCGTTATGAGGATGGTCGAATTGTAAGTTTCATTGTTTAAATGCTTAAACTATTACATTTTGTACAAAGTCGTCTGTTTGGGTACCTTTGTCTCTTTCATGTTCTTACTGACAACTGTGCTTCCTTTTTGAAGGGTGGGTGTGTAAAGGCCTTATGAACAACAGTTTAGTGATTAGGAATGGTTACAGGTATTAAGTACAATTGGCGACAGAGTCAAGTATATTGCACTGTATGCAGTGATGTTTATTTTACCACTATTCATTAGAATACCCATTACCTTAATTACCCAAATAATATATTTTTATTCTAACGTGTTGTAGAAATATATATTACTTATTGTTAATTTTTATAGATGTATATAAATAAAAAAAAAAATAATGAAACCAATAGCACAATTTTAAGTTTACAATTAATTGGTTGTTGGTTTCAGGAACGATACGTTCCAACACGATACGGTAGGCTACCAATGTCCGCGTACCGGCGAAATGGGATGCAGGACCAAATTCATGGTTATAGAGGAGCAATTCGATATTTATGTACTGGGTCAGGTCATGACGTGCCATGTGTATATACTGCAGTGGAACCCTTATGTAGAGTATATCCCAAAATTACTCAGGAAATGTATCCTGTTAAAAAGAAAAATAAAAAGTGAAGAGATTTACCCATATATTGCATTATTCAGTGAAATAATTAGTATAACTTTTTTGTTGAAATACAAAATAAATTCACCAGGCTAATCCACTACCATCATCTGCGTTAAAACGGAATGGACTTCAAGATCAAAAATTCTCAGAGAGTGGTAGTGGTATATCATATATTCGTAAATGTTGGCACAATGCAATATGGAGTTATCAACCGATTGCTATACCTGTCAGACCTACGAAGAAACTCCCTGCCATAGTTAAAAAATGATGCCTCCCTATTGTGAGTTACGATTCAATTTATCATTAGCAGGGTATCTTGAGGCAATAAGAAATGCGACGTAATTCATAATTAAAACTACGGAAAATAAACCATAAATGATTCGCTGTTAGAATAATTTAAAAACACATTTCTTATTCATTTGCATTATATCTGACGATGTCTATTTATAATATCAAACTATTATTATATCGTCATCGAATTGTTAGAGAATGCACGCGTAATAACAACAAGTTATGCGACAAATGGAACTAAATAGGAAATATCTGGTCGATTACAGGTACGCAAGCTACCCGTGAGTGCATTCAAGCGTAATGGTATGGTAGGACCAGGAGCACTCGAAGTTACTGGGCACTACAAATTTCCTCGTCAGACATCCCCATGATGTGTCGATCGAATGTGATATCTGCACTAATCCTGTCAAAGTGGGAGATCCGGCTATAGTACCTTTATGTGACGCCAATCACGTTCTTGGTTGTACAGCGCTTAGGAAGAAACCCATAGAAATGTCATTTGAAGATTTATTTGATGAATAGAATTTTTTCTTAGGATTCTTTGGATTTTACACGGGAAAAATGAATTAACACCAAACTTGTGACATTTGAAATATCGTTGACATTAAATAAAGGCTAAGGAATAAACGGGAGTTGCTCACGTAAGCGGATTGTCTAATGTTATTGTCAGAGATATTACGTATAGCGCTAGGCTGTGACGCTATGTTAAGAACTTTTGTTTCGTATAATAAAAGAAAATTCACAAATTTGTTATTGTGATCTATTTAAATATGCAAATTGACATTTGCATTTAAAATATACCATTTTCGTTGTTTCAGCGTAATCAACCTACTGTGCTGATGCGACGAGCTTGCGAGGTGGCTATAGGAACTAGAGCAAAAAGAAAACCATTCGTCGAATCTTCGTACTGTGCTGATCCACATAACGAAGTTCATCGATTCCACTCTGAAGATGAAAGGGTATACAAAAATTACTATATATTTTCGAGTTAGTTCACTAGTTCTTGATTTTATTTCTTTATATTAATAGTTAAAATAATTGATATTTTCTACAGCCCATCTCTGACATTAAAATATAAAAAAGATAAAGAAGCCTTTATTCTGCTCTTAATATTATACAAAATTTGCTTTGTGATTTAAAATTAATATTGCATGCATACATTATATTTTTTTTCACTAAAATAAAATATATATTATAATTATATATTTTTTTTTATAATTAATTAATAAAATTGTTAAATTATATTATTAAAATTATATGTTATATACATTATTATTTCCATCAAATTAAATCTCGTAGCACAGAGTGCCTTGTGGCAAAGGCCTCCTCCAACTCCTTCCAATACTTTCTGTCCCTTGCTGCTCTACTCCAGCATGGACCTGCTGTTTGTTTTAGTTCATCCTCCCATCGTCTCTGTGGACGACCTCGTTTCCTTTTAGTGTCCCGTGGATACCAAACTGTGATCCGTAAGCTCCATTTATCTATGTTGTTGCGCAACATGTGGCCTGTCCATTGCCATTTCTGCTGGTCTTTTCGTAAGAGAATGTCTGTTAGCTTAGTTCTGGTCCTGATATCCTCATTTCTCACTCAGTCTTTTCTTTTTATTCGTAACATGCTTTGACATGCATCTCTGATATAAGATGTAGAAAATTCTATAGAAAATTCCAGAGTTCCGGAGATTCTGCTTTTGTATTATTATACCTATAATTATCATATATAATTTAACAGAAGCAGACAATAATTTAAATTTGACTGAACCAAGATATTTTATGAAAAATTAATATGCAGCCAGTGGTTGGATAACCGCCACCTGAATTGATTCCCACGCAATATTCTTTCAGAAGCCAAAGCAAAAAGCTGAATAAATGCCGTTTACGCCGCGCGAGAAAAATCCAATTTTGTTACGAACTCCGGTCAGACCTAGAAAAATGAATCCGATATGAAAGTCGAAATTTAAATTAAAATCTATCTTATTAAAAAACTTGACTTAGGTTAAATTAAGGTATAAGAAGAAACCTACCGACAAGTTTTAGTTATTTTAAAATTATTCAAACTGTTTTATTTTACAATATAATATCGGCAAACTTTTACATTAAAATTTTACCCACAAAGTACGCTGAATTGTTTGACGTTCCATTTTAAAATTAAAGTGTTCAAGAATTGAGTTATCCGTTGAATTAGAATTTTAATTGAATCGTACTACCCGTTTGTGAGCAAATTACGGAAGATTAGGCGTTATTTGGAGGCTGGTTGCTTGGTGTGTTTTTAACATCGATCGCCCCGCTTCCTGGCCACAATGTTTATTCGCCGAACGCGGCGAGGGTTCAGATGGGGATTTATTTCCGACTGGGGCTCAAGATATAGCTCTTCGTGATTGGGCCCTATAATCCGACGGATTGTATGGCCGCATCTATATCGTCTGTCTATACACAACACACTGGTTTTCCCCAGACGTTTCAATCTTATTAAATATTCTATTTTAACATTCTAATGGACGTAATGTAAGCTTAATTTTAGTCCAATTTCGTAGAACTGGTAGGTCAACACAGAGCCGAAATTGCTCGGTTTAAAAATATGATTTTCATTATAGTGGTTTATTATACGAGTACTTGCATATCGGTAATCGATAAAAATTAGGAAAGTGGTTTTGAAATTTCTACTGGAATGAGAGACAACGAATCATATAATGTGATAACGATAAAAACTGTAGGAAACAGCTAGTTTCATATTATAATGTGCAAAGTTTAAAATAATAATTAACTTTAAATATTCTCTCGTGCAATTGGGTATTTATAAATAGAGTTTGCCAGTATAATTTAGAAATAAATACGGAGATAAGTAGATTGGATAAAGGAATTTAAACTTTTCTGTTTCTCGTACTCTCTATCTGACTTTCTCTAAGCTTTAGTAATTAACAAAAGGCGTAGTATTACTGCAAACACGACAACTTTCCGGGTAGGATTTTCGTCTAACGATTTTTGCTTTTTTACCTGCGAAGTTAATTAATTTACGAGGCTCGAGTTAAGAAACTTATCTGCTTATGCAAATAACAGGATTGGTGTCTCCAATCCTGGAGCAATTTTTACAAAGTTTTGTGCGACTTGTGCGTCGGAATAAATAAAGTTTAGATTTTCATTTTTCTCTCCAAATGAACTTTGAACATTGTCTAGCACAATTTTAAATTTTATTTTGTGCTTGCAGGGTAATCTTTGTTTTCAATATGAGAGAAAAAAACACACGGAAGCGTCGTATTATACTCTACATGATGGGCATGATCTGAACTGTCATCATTGCCAGCAATGTTTGCAGAGTCCGGAGTATCAATATGCTGATTGCATACGAACACGTTTTGTAGAGCCCACAAAATCTTGTTGCTATTACTATCGTTGAATTGTCTCTCTAAATTATCAAGTATTGTTCTATTTGGTACTTACTTTATGTTCAAATAAATTGGCGGCTATATTATTAAAATAAATTTGTAACTGAATGTTGTTTTATTAAATACGGAATGTAATACGCAACTATAAATATCTCATAGGCAGATCAGAGGCAGATTTACAGACATAATTCTCCATTAGGTCAGGTCACAACGTAGCTCTGCCTATAGAAAAATTACAATTTTGTCAGGTGTAACTATTCATAAGGATTCTCAATGTACGTTCATAGCTGTCGATGAATTTTTTTTAATTGTTAGAGATAGCTTATGTTTCTTTTTTTATTAATTGATGTATAACAATATTGTACAATATCAAATACCTATTAAAGATAGCAACTGTAAGACACATCGCATTTTCTATAAATGTCAAAAGTAAATGACATAATTTTATCAAACAATCCAAGTATCCTCTTTATACTGTAGGAAAAGAATGCCATGGAACTTATGAGCGTATGCATTATGAAAAGTAATAAAAGACATCATTGAACAAATACAAAATGTACCTTCATATTAGTGACGAGAGTGACATAGCTATTTGATTTGAACGGGTAATGTAAACATAATACTAAGTACAGGAAAACTTGATTTTTACTAATTGGTGATTAAAATTTATAGAGTGGTATCCCTGGTTGGTATTTTTAAATAAAATACTTGATGTCTAATTCTATAATTGTCATATTAAATTTTACTTACTTGTGAAATATTAGGCTTTTCCGTAGATCATTTCAATCGCGATAAACGAAAATACAACAATATAAATATATACTCGTATATTAAAAGATTCAATATATTTTCAATCTATATATATATATATATATATATATATATATATATATATATATATATAATCTACTTAAATATATATTCACTCGCGTATAATAGCTATCGCTTGACTTTTGATTGGCAAATAATTGGTGTCATTCAAAAATAAAAGCGTCTGTAAAGCAAAACAAAACAAAAAAAATTCCAATCAAGCTTACATTTCTGTGTTTTGCTTAGTTTTATATGTTATAGCACGTAGTTTTATATATTACATTATATAGCTTATAAAGTTGTCTCGTTTTAACTATTACTGTCGTTGCATCTTATATCTATTAGGTCCGCAGGTACTATCCTTAATCTATGTTTATGAGCGTATGCAATGTGAAATAGCAATTGAATCAAGTCATTTTTCTGGTCTCATTTTGAAACCTTTTAAAAAGATTTCTTAGGATTACTTAGTATACATACATTAAGGATATTACATGCATGGGGTCCTATTATTTCAAAGTAAATTTTCGACATATTTACTATATAATAGCAATATGTCGAAAATTTACTTTGGGATTGTTTATTCCATTTTATATTATGAAATAATTTATAGTCTATTGTAAGTTATAATTTTACTGATTTTATATCAGCAAAATTATAATTTACATCAAATTTTGCTACAGATTTTATGCAAATTATAATTTAATAAAATTTTGTTACAGATATGCAACTCACCAAAACAAATTTGACGAAAAAGAAAAAGAAATATTGTGGAGATTTTTAATAAAGTTGCGATAGGTCTGTTCAGTGAAAATACATAACAGTGAAAGAACATAGCTGTTATTTGCAATCATGCGAATCGTTGTACAGTGTGTTGCGAAAAGTTATATCAGTGTTAGTGAGTGTTTGTGACAATAAGAAGTGTTGTAAGGGGCTGTGGGGTGTAATGAGAAAGCGGCGCGGGAAGCTAGCGGGGCGAGCGGCGCGGTGACTGCCCGCGCGCACAATGCGGCATGCGCTTGCTTTACTTGCCGTCGCGTGCACCGTTGCCTCTGCGCAGCTCGCATGGACACCAATTTTTCTTGACGGTAGTAGTGAGTATCTATTACAATCTATCATTTGTACAGCTATTTATTGTTGACTGCTGTATGTAGTCTGTCGTTTATATGAGTACCTCTGTCTTGCTCATGTTTCTGCCTGGAAACCTGTTCTCCCGTGTTTGTGTATCGATGTGATTGGTAGAGTAGTGAAATTACAGGGTACGGAGACGTAACTAGATAAGAATGTTGAGAAGTGCCAACGCATGAAGAGTACCACGAAAATCAAGACGTTAGTGATGCCCATGGTGCTGTTCATGTAGATGATGGTTAGCACTTTTCATCTGGTAATCCATCATCTTTTTTGCCATTTTATGTAGCAGAAGAAAATCTATCTCCAGTAGTGGAAAACAAATAACTCAACCATTGGCTGCTGTAAGAAGCGGTCCCATGGCGCCTTAATTGACTTGAGATTATCCTTCATGATAATAACGTTAAATACATTATTATTAGGGGAAAGTATTGTTTATTATTAATATTTGAAGAATATTAATAATAAAAAATACCATTTTCCGTCAAAAGGGTCATCAGCTTGTTTGAAAACTTTACTTAGAAAAGTTGCATAATAAAAATGGGCTGGCTGTTTGTATTTGCATCATTCTTAGATGCAAAAAATATATGTACAGGTTTATCAGTAATATATGCTAAGCTTACTGGGCGGTAGTCACTTACCATTAGGTGAGCCGCATACTCGTTTACCCCCTGTGTTATAAAATAAGTCCCAAGTCTAGCGAAAGAATACATAAAATTTAACGTTTTCAACTCATACTGAATCGATCACGTAATCGAGATTTGTATGAAATTTCAAAAAGTATTTTGAGGTTTCATCTATGCTCCTCGGAGAAAGCTATTGAGTTTTTAAATTCTATCATTAATAAATTTAATTTTTTAGCTTAATATTTATATATACCAGGAGTGGCCAACTGGTCGATCGCCACTATTAGTCTAATCTAGTGGAAGATGCTCAAACGCAATGCTCACGCTAATATAAATAAGTAGTTAATGAGAATAATATTCAGTTTAATGTTTTCCTTCTTAATAAAATAAAAAAAAAATAATACAATACTGCATAAATGTGTACTGAACTATGTTGTTTCATTTGAGATTTCAAGTATGTATGTAATTGGCAGATCGTACAGTGTTTCGTCAGTAAGCATTAGAGCTTGGGTGTAGCCAAGTCGGCCACCCTTGATATATACATTTTTTTTTTCAGGTCAAGTAGATTTATGGACACAGTCATCGTCCGGGTGCGCGTGCCCGGGCGGCGATGGTGAGGATTGCGCGTGCTGTGTGCGCGACGGTGCGTGTCCCTGCGGCGATGTGGCGCCCACGCGATGCGCACAGTGCGGCCTGGAACAATATTGCGCTAATAGTAAGTACTTATATCAGCGTCAGAGGTGTCCTTCTCTAGAAATATTTCCGATTCTAGGATAAGGGCATACGGGTATGCGACCCCGGCCTCCCGAGCTGATGCAGTGTCCCAGTCCTTTTCGTAACTGTAGTGTCCCCCTATTTCCATTCCTACATAAGTCCTTTATTCCTCTTATTTACCAATTTCCTTTACGAATTTCGCAATCTTTTCCTCCATATCGTCGTTGACAGAAACCACCAACAAATGCATTCCCAAAGAGAGTTCACGTCAGGCATATGGCCGGTCGTAAAACTATAAGCCAAATCTTTTTGTAATATGGATAAAAACATATTACGCCGACTCCAAAAAAATTAGGATAAGGATAAAAAGATGAAGATAAGTAAGTACTTGTATCTTTCACCAAACTTAGATAATTACTACCAAAGTTAGTCAAATGAAAAGATCGCTTTGAAATTGGTACCTGAAATGAAGTCATTAATAGAAAAAAACATTGCGGTACGTATTCTACGGTTCTATTTGTCATTTTCCAACTTATATTTTGTTAAAAAAAATTAGTTTCACTTATATACAAATTACTCAACCCATTGTACTCAAAAGTATAGTTGTTTAGACTCATACAACATATAATTATCACTGAATACAAAGGAGTTTATTGAATAGTCCCATATCACTGAAGAGGTTGTACCTACTACGCGCCAGAGATTAGAGATTAAACCAATTAAAACACGCATGTTAATGTTTTGAGATTATCTTTGTCGTTGTGAATATTAGCACAAACAATGAACGACAATTTGAAAACGGACTGTTTGTTGGCAAGCACTCTGAGATCCCACGAGTATTGAGACCCGAACAATGTTTACCTTTTCCTTAAATAACGGACCATTATTAAACCACGGTCAACATCAAGCCTTTACGTTGGTTTTACTCGTCCAGCGGGCATATGAGTATTTGAAATTTGAATTTTTTGTTCATTTTAGTGTTTTATTATAGTTATATGTGACTAGATATGAATTGAGGCTTTGCTCTCTTAAATAGAATACATATTATTTCATTTGTGAATATAGGATGTAGTCTATGTTATAAATTTTTACAAATCCGTCCAACCATTTAAGTGTGACTAAGTAAATATTTGAAGAACCGAACATCTTCAGAGATTTTCGCATTTATAATATTACTAGGGTTAGCTAATAAAAATATCCGTATAAAGCTGGTAATATATTACCTCTCCTATTCATTGTCAGGACGTCGTAAGAGTCGACTCGGGATGTCAGCGCAATACACTAGTGCAAAGGAAGGACAACTGGAAATAAATACATGACATTTGGCAATAAATATGTACAAATCTTTATTTTTTAGAAATTGTTCAAGTAGCAAAATTGTATTATAATAGTTAATAATTTTTTTTTCAACTAAACTTAATTATAAGCATTTCTGAATAATATTTTTTATGATTGTGTCGTCCATTCGGAATGTAATGTCAGCTGAGAAGAACGGGCAAGAAATTTAACTTTTGCTTAAATTTTCGTTCATAGTTTTTCCGCAGAGTATATACAAAAACATATACGTACAAAATCAGAATTTTCCTAGAAGTGTTTTTTCCATATGTAAATATATCAGCCAGTACATTTTTCGTTATTGATAAATATACATTCCAGAATTTCGTTTCAACAAATTGAATAGCGATAAAATTAAGTGCCAAATAGTCATAAACAACTGCGTAGTTTCAATCACGTTAACCTGTATTATGAGAAATCAGATAAGAAACATCTGGTCACAATCCAGAGCACCCAGATTCAGAAGTTTGTTTTCTAACTTGACCTGTACCGAGATAGGAACTTACGACGTCGTTTAATTTTAGACAAAGCAGCATTTTCACTACAAAAGTCATTATTAACCTTGATTATATGAATAACTTACCGGAAAATATTAATTTTTAAACAAATTCTAAACCAGAGAGATTATTATTTTTTATATTATTATTTATTATATTATTTATGTACTTCATTCTCGGCTAATTTGCCGGTTTTCTCAGACAACCCGTCCCAAAAACCTTTGGAAAAAAGAAAGCTGAGATCCCAACCCCTTTTATTACGTGTGTGTATGCAAATATGCATATATATTATTTTTATGCTTCATAGCTCTATTTATATTATTTAATTGGTTTTCACCTTCTCAACTTATGTCGGCTTAAAAACATACCCATATACATATACATATATATAACATATACATATTATTTATATTATTATGTATTTTATTTTATATTATTATGTAATTATGTCGTGAATTCTGAACCATTTTTAAGAATTATTTTTGTAGCCAGACAGAGATTATTTCCATATACGAGTAGATTCCATTTTTTTTTCAGGACCAACGTGATTTTGTTTTGCAATGCCAAAAAAAATTTTTGTTAAGTAAAATTTACTTTTAAGTAAATATATATTTTCTATTTTAAATAAAATTTCAATATGTATTTACAAAATATATCGTTGTTTAGTCACGATAGAAGTCCTAGTTATTTTTTTGCAGATTAATATGTACATACTCTTTATTCTTAAACATTTTAAAACATTTAGAAGCCTATTATAGATATTAAAGTGTTTTTTTCTTTTGCTTTAAATTCTTAATTTGAAAGGGAGTGACGAACCACTTCAATAACTGATGTAGGTGTCTAGAAGGATTTAGTTTTCATGAATATTAGTTATTAGAATAATTTTAGATTTTCACAAAAAAAAACCGACTTCAATTGTAGTGAAACCAGCTATTTTGATTTGAAAACAAAACTACTAAACAGATTTTGATAACATTTCTATAGGACAAAGTGTCTTTTCGTTAAAAAAAGCAAATTAGTTTATAGCTGATGAGGTTATGAGGTAACATAAAAAATACAACTGAAATTAGAACCTCCTTCTTTTTAAAGTCGGTTAAAAAACTAATATCATTTTTTTTCTCTAGTGTGTAATATTACCATCGACTCGCGTGTCCTCAAAAACAAGTCTGGCAAGACCTTTGGGCAGATCAAGTCACCTTCAATCGAGGGCCCAGGATCATGTTCCTACTTCCTTCAACCTGATGCTGGTCAACGGGTGGAAATACAACTGTATAGACTTGTCTCAGTAGGAAGATTTAACGGTACTGGGTGAGTATATTATATCACAGATAAGTAACTATTATGTTAGTTTGTCTCTTTGTAAAGAAATAGCAGCTGCTAAATACCTATTTATTTATTTATTTATTTTTTTTTTTTATTTATTTATACAACATAGAATGGCAAACAAGCTGACGGCCCACCTGATGGAAAGTGGTAACCGTCGCCTATAGATATGGGGAGTACCATGGACATAACAGAGTATACTATTTCGCCCATGATACCCCATGTGTTGCCAATCCTGAGGACTCAGGTGTTATTCCTCTATACCCTGTAAATTAACAAAATCTTTAACTACAGATGATCTTTCTGTATTAATATAGCCTTATTAAACTGTTTTGAATTTATTATTGAGTATTGATTATTAAATGATAATTTCATGGCGAATAAAAATAATCTAATAATAGTTTTATAATCGATGATATTATACAATCGATCATAATCGAATCGAAAATATCATTGATATATCGATATAATTATTAGTATCGACAATAAGTTCTAGATATAAATAATATAAATTATATTATTATTATGTATAATTTTATGGATTAAATCAATAGTAACATTAATGCCAATAAATCAGCCGATATTTATATAAGAGGTAGATTAATTTATAAATAATTCCCAAGTGTAATAATATATGTTTAAAATAATGGAATTAAAAAATATTATATGCACAAATTAAATATTACGGAAACAATATACCTAATAATTGGTAATAATAATGGATCTATCTTTCTCGTAGGTTGAAATATACTTAAAAAATATTTGTATATAACAAAATCGACATAACGCTCGATTTGTCTAAAGGATTCGTTTTTATTTTGACCTTTGATCTGCCATGAGAAAAGTTTGTTCAGCTTCACAAATACTACCGGCTTGTTATATTTTTTCTGTTTCAAAGAGTACATATTATTGTTTTCAGCATGATTGCATTTAATATGCAGGATACTGATACTTCAAATAGTATATACATATAAATAAATGCCATTGGAACAACAATATTTTTTCAACATACCAAATCAGTTGTAGTTATCTGATATATATAATTTGTTCAAAGCATCTGCGTCTCCATAGAGGAAAATTTTTGTTACAAAGCTACCTTGTATTTGTTAAATTAAATTGAGCCATCGAGAAATCTTACTGACAATAACAATCTGTTACGGACGTTATTTGAATAAAATTGGAAAGCAATGAGTTTCATTGCATTTTGAAAATATTACAGTAACATTGAATTTGAGATTTCCGCAAAGTGTGATATAAAATTTACTATTGGAGATAGAAATTGGTATTTTTTATTTTAAGCAGTTTTACATTTGTCTCTTATAAATTTATTATTAAAATCATGATTTTGTATAGCAGAAGTAAAATATCTATTTATTTCGCTAGTTGCAAAAACGTAAAATTTGTTAGAAAGATACTTCGTGCATTACATACATTCCATGCGAGTCGTAAACAATAGTATCTTTTTCTGTTGTTATATTTTAAAAAATAAACAGTAAATACACCACGGCCCACCTTATGAAAAGTGATAGAAAATTGCATATAGACATGTAACAAAGTATGATTACGAGTATCACAACATTGCATTTTTGGGAAAAATTACACAACTGTATATTTATGTATATGCTTTATATATGTGCAAATATTTATCGATTCATCCTTCCTAAAATCGACAATTTTATGAAGGACGAATCGATAGTAATCGCACCATAGATTTGGGTATGACGGGCCCGAGATTGTCGCACACAGCGGTTATGATCAATGTCCCGTCAAATTGAATATTTCATATGGACCGTCTTCACGTCGAACCTGGCACCGACTAATATTTATGTTTTTTCATAGTAAGTAGATTATCAAACATCCTGGGAAAATCGATATTACAAATACTCAATTTATTTGCAGTGTATTTTTTTTTAGAAATATAAGTGAAATAAATAGACAGGTGACTATGACACTAGTTGCACATCTATAATATCTACTCGTAGGTAATTGGTTTCATAAATCACTATATTATTTTCTAAATATAAGGTTGGGAACTACACAAAATGAGAGATTCTTTTTTCCTTAAAATTTAATTAACTTACACTGCATAAATTTGCTGATGTAAAAGCATAATTAAGCTATAATATTATTATAACATTTTTATATGACATGTATAGGTTTCTTCTCATTGCAAATCGAAATCAATTAAGGCATAGAAGCATATAATAGTGTAAGAAAAGGAATACTCGAAATAAAATTCTATGCTAAGTCGCCGGCTAGTGTGGTAATAGCAGATTAGAATCGTTCTCTAAATTTTTTGTTTTATTTTTTTTTCTCTTCACAAAACAGGAATTTGGTGTTTTTAATACATTTATCATCATCATCATCATATCAGCTGTTATCTGTCCACTGCTGAACATAAGCCTCCCTCATAGATTGCTATTAGGAAGGTTCTACGCCACCTGCAGTAGGTATATTTTAAAACGTTTTTAAAATAAAAAAGATATATACCTACATTTACATACAAATATGTATATAATATGTATATAGGTATAGTCGAATGGGTTTATGTAGTGTGAGAGAATAAACGATATGCGTTATTTGATATGACTTTCCAGTCATTAAGCGTAAAAACCATTTCAGCTCACTCGTCATTTCGTACGCCCGCAATTTAATCTGTTGCGAAATAAACAGAATGTTTTCATCTAATGTGATAATATTTTATATTCTTTTTACATAATTTCGAATGAAATATAAGCTAACGGTCAGCTTAATGGGAAGGATTAACCGCTGCCTATAGATATGAACCAGTATGCCTATGAACTCTTAATGCTCTTCTGGTTGTAAATGATGCCATACGAATAGATTTTCTCCTCCTTTCCCGTGTGTTCTGTAGACGACTAAGTTAACGGTCGAGGTTTGGGCAGTAGGGTCCCTCTTAAAACATCACCGAAACCTACCTGTAGTTGCCAACCCGCCTGCCAAGCATGCCAACTACTGGCAAATTCCCCCAATAGGGGGAGGCCTATATTCAGTATGGGGCACATGTTTTTTCTTTTATGAAAATTAATTTAGTAGTTTCAGTTCAATTTTTTACTATTAGTTATTCAACGGTATGTTTATTTATTTTTTTGTCGATATGTTATTTAATATATTCGCCTATTTTAAAACGAATTTGGTAATACTTTATTTTTTATTGAAGTTAACAAACATTAATATAATATTACGATAACAGATGTTATTGGTTGCATACTACACGTATTATTGTCAAGTTTAAATTCAGTTTGTATTTTTGTACAATGGTCCTGAATTCTTCAGGTCAATTAATTAATTAGAATTTAATTTAAATCCATTCAGTTCAATAAAGTTACGTCCAACAGCTAATGTTTGATAAAGTTTCTTACTATTTGCAACGTATTATATCTGGATAACGGACGTTACAAACTAAGATCGATTTGCTGAGCAATTCTGAGAATGCCTCGTTCAAAAGGGAAAACGTATGTTGCAGTATATATAATATAGTACAAACAAACTACCGCTAGAGGGCTAATCACTGTTATGGAACGTAGTAGGGTGTATGTACCTTAGGGAAAATGTCGCGTGCATACTAATATTTCCTGAACTAAACAAAATAATAACTGGGTAATATTTATTACAACAGTTATTATTTATCTAACAGTTGTGTCGTCACTATTTAGCTCTACTTTGAGCTTAGAATTTACTCGTATTAATATATAGCTATATTAGTATTTTATCATGTTTTACTAAAATAATAAAACTGTAATTAAACGATGTCTGTACATGGGAGATCATCTTCATCAACATATCAGCCTTTAATTGTCCACTGCTGAACATAAGCCTCCGTGAGGGGGTTTGCCAGTAGTTGCCACGCTTGGCAAACGGATTGGCAACCACAGTTAGACTAAAGATGTTTAAAGAGGGACACTGCTGGACATGGGAGATAATTAAGAAAAAATAATATGAGTGATTTTAATAAGACAAATAGACGTCAAATCAATAATTTTTAGAAACTGTCTATCTGCCTGATTGTATGTTTGTTCTGGCATTTCGCTAAATTTATTGCACTTAATGGAATGCGGTTCTCACAGTTATATTCCTAAAGTTCAAACTTAAAAACTGATGTATTCTTTACCTTGATACGTAATCTAGAAGCGGTTATTGACTTTCTTACTTCTTAAATCCACACATATGAAATAGTGCGAAAAAACCAGTATTACATATATATTAAAACTTTGTACAGAAAATATATAATTCTATAAGTTATGTTTATATATTAGATTGTTTATATATGGCAAACAAGCTGACAGTCCACCTGATAAAAAGTGGCAATCGTCGCCTATTTACATGAACCATGGACATAACAGAAATATAGAGCTGTGTATACAGCGGGCTTTAAGGGAGTAATGTGATGCATGCATGCTAATAGTTGCTGAACAGAACTAAATAAACAAAACTACCTATAATTTGAATAATAAGTGGCGGTTGTAAGCTCATTTCTGCAACGTTAGATTATTATCTATAACTCTTAGAAATTTGGAAATGTCACGACTTATATTCTCAACAGTAACAGTTCTTAAATAATTTTAACTACCCCATTAAGGTCTAGTCTTGAGACTTGTATGTTTATTTTTGTTTTAAAAAATTGATTTCTCGACAGTTGTGTCGGAGGATGGCTCCAGTTGGGTGGTGCGGGTGCCGTGCAGAGCAGCGCGGCTGAGACCCGGTTGTGTGGTGCCAACGAGCGGTATTCACCACCCGTTGTACTGTTTGCTGATCACGGCGCTTCTAAATTAGAATTTAGGTAATTATTTGTTTATATTGTTCGTAGACAAGTGACAATTGAACAACACGCTAAGAGCGGGTAATATATTGCAATATCTATATATTGTAGTTACAATATCTATACATATATTGGTTTAATAACAGACATATTAGTTATCAGTTATCCTATATATAATATGGAAAAGAAGAACATATGGCTGGTATAGGAAATATCGCAATGGGTGGTCATTAATGTTCAGAAGAATTCAATATGTAGATATCGTATATTACCCATCTCTAGATGCTGTTGTGTTATTATACCTCATACATGAAGTAGCGATAACGTATCTATCGACACATTTGTTTGCCACTTGTCTAGACGGGCATATGTTTTCTCTATTCATCCTCTAAGTATATATAATTTAATCGTAAAGTCATAAGCTTATTTATTGTATGGACTTAAATAAACGTATATAAATAAACATATTTTTGATTAATCTTTAACTGCGAAATCATTAATGTGCCCTAGATAGGTATGTTGATTGATTGAAATAAAAATAAGTCTATATTTATTTTCCATTTCAAATAGTACCTTTAATTCTAATTTTAGGGTGGTAAGTCGATCCAATAATGTGTCATGAGGTAAGAAAGAAAAAACAAACTCACTTTCGCATTTTTCATCCTAATGTACCTTTTTTATTCCTGGTATTTGTACCGACCTCCAAGTAACCTTGTATGAACGTACAGTTAGGTATTATCATACAAAAAGTATTACTCAAATTGTATTCAGAAGTATACAAGCAATGGTGTTATTTTTCCATTTCAGTTCAGTCACGTTCAATAAAATCCCCCAACGTTATGTATACTTCTATCTATTCAAGTTAAAGAATTTCAACGTCATCCAAGTACCTACTTATATTATAGCGACGTCGCCCCCACAGGTTGAATACAGAATGACAGATTTTATTTTGAAGGAAAGGATTGTTTCTGCAGAAGTACAGTCAGAATCCAAAATCGATCATTAAATACAACTAATGTATAAAAGTTTGTAAACATATTTTTATATGTTGATTGTCAACCGTGCTTAAACAACTGAACGGATTTGAATGAAATTTAATACATGGTTAGGTTGTATCCCAATCCTAATATACCATATATTATATTTTGTAAATAATACTAATTCGCGCAGGCAAAGTCGAAGAAAATAACTAGTTAAGATGATATTCAGTTAATTTAATCGAGCGATTTATGTAAACAATAAATAGAATTTGCGGTTTAGGAATTCGATTTTAGTGCTGACTGCATTAATAAATAATATCATAGTAATAACATGTAAATATTATACAGGTTTATACTAGCGACCCGCCCCGGCTTCGCACGGGTGCACATTACATCACATCACACTAGAAACCTTTAAAATTATCAGTGTTTCTCTACAATATTATGCATGTATTATACATATAAACCTTCCTCTTGAATAACTCTATCTACTAAAAAAATCCGCTTCAAAATTCGTTGCGTAGTTTTAAAGATTTAAGCATACATAGGGACGGACAGACAGTGATAGCGACTTCGTTTTATACTATATAGTGAAAAGATCTGGAATGGCTAGTTTGATGAAATTATCGAAATTGTGAATATACAATCTGGGATGATCATTATTATAAAATTATTTATAAATATGTATTAAAAATATTTATAATAATAGATCCTGTTATAATTATATTTACAATATAATAGTAAGATGTAAATAATAATAATAATACGTTTGGGTATTTGACAATTTTCCACGTAATTCCACAAAATGAGCTGTTTAATAGGAATTAATGTAATAACGTATAATACGAATAGAGTTATCCCACGATTAATCTCGATAGTTACATTTATTAATGAATTCGCTGTAGACCAATTATTATGAATTCGACTTCAATTCGATAAATATTTTATAATTTGCGAATAATTGGAATAGTTGGATTTCGCAATTCGCATAAATGTATTATAATTTAATTCAATTAACTTATTGGTACTAAATCGGGAATGAGTTGTTTTCGATATCTGTAATAACTCATTATAATCCCAGTACTGTACACGGGTGTCTTATCACAAGAAGAGGATATTCTACTACTTTTTTGATATACTAAATGATCTTATTAATTAATATTATAGAAGTATATTGTAAAGAAAAATTTACAAAATATTATTCGGGCAAATTAAATTATTACTGTATTAGTACCTTAACTTGTATTGTTTCTTTTTTTTTATATAATTTTGTGTCATTATGCCGTATAGGGAAGAGCACTGCTTATCCTAAAGTACAGGATTTACCTATTTAGGGAGCAAAGTTTTACCTATATTTAAAATGTAATATTTATTTTGAAATATATTATTATTAAATTATTATTTACATTATTATTTATTAAAGATGAGAGCTTTGAGAAGTATGTGTGGTATTACATTAAAAGATAGAGTAAGAAACTGTGATTAGAGAAAAGTGTGGACTGAAAGACGATGTAGTGATAAAAATCGAAAAAGGAATGTTGCGTTAGTTTGGTTATTTGGAGAGGATGGATGAAAGAAGAATTACGAAAGAGATTTATCGAGCAAGAATGAATGGAGATGTCGGTAAGGGCCGCCCTAGACGGACGTATGTTGACCAAATAGGCGACGTACTGAAGAAGGGCCAAATTAAAAGTACCCGTAACCGGCGAGCGTGTATGAAAAGATTGATGAATGTGGAAGAAGCGAAAGACGTTTGTTTGAATCGAAGCATTTGGCATTCCATTGTTTCTGTCTACCCTAATGGGAGACAGGCGTGACAGATATGTATGTATTATAGAAGTTTTGATTATTTTTTATGCAATTTAGAATGGCGAACAAGCTGACGGCCCACCTGATGGATAGTGGTAACCGTCACCTATAGACATGAGCAGCACCATGGACCTAACAGATACTGTTTAGCTTTGTTTAGCTAAAGTTTGTAACGACAAATAGCTAGATGGATGATTGTTACTCTTTCAAGTAAAAAGTACTGAAAGGATTTGAATGAAATTTGGTACACAGCGGATAGATTGTAGTTTAACATAGCACATAGGATAACTTATATACTGTAGTGATACGCAAGCAAGTTGGTTAAACATTGATTTATTTAAAAAAAATAAATGGAACAGAATGTTACTGGCCAGTACTTATAATATTATTAGTGGCCAGTACGTGAATATAATATATTACACTCTTAGATTATATAGATAGAGTATAGAGTTTTAAAAGCTGACCAAGTTTTTGTCAGCTAATTGACAAATTAACCGGCTCGTTTTTTTATTTATACTTTCGCAAACAACGTATCTATATTTAATTATTTAATAAATAAGATATATTTTTACGAATTAAAAAGATGCATAAAATTATAAAACAAAATTAATATAGAAGAATCACTCATAACCATTTATCACGCAAAATTGTATGAAAAATTTGTCCCGCTATTCTTGAACCATATGTATAGAGACACTCTACCCATACAAGATAATCAAGATTACAATATATTAATTCATGTTGGCGAAGCCGTGAGATACTAATAATTAAATATATTGAAAAATATTAATGTCCCCATATGGGAACTTAATAAGAATGCAGCTGAACCTTTCCTTGATTGCAGTAAAAAATAACCTATGACTATTCATCCCCATTATGTACCACTAAATTTCATTCTGGTTAGTTGAGCGTTACAAACAAATAAACAAATATAAATACAAACAAATGTCAAGAGATTACAAACAAATAAACTTTAATAAAATTGCTTTAGTTACATTCTCTCAATATTAATTCCCCCATAATATTAAAAGGGGTTGGGGCTGTGGCCCCTTAATACATGTTATTATATTAAGCTATTTAGGAGTTTTAAAACCACAACTAGTGTACGCTTTTAAAACTATAATATTAATATTGGTGAACTTAAGAAATTATAGTTATGTTTTTACGAATAAATCTCATTTCATTTCAATATTATTAAAGAATTATTTATTTATAATTATTACAAAAAAATAAAGCAGGGTGTTCACAGGTAAGTATGAGTGTATCGGGAATGTTTAGTGTGAACATGTTATACTACTTCGTTTCATCGTTAAAATGTTCTAAAAGAAAGCTAGGTTAACAAAGCACAAAAAGAAACATAATCCAATAGAAAGAATAACGAGATTAAGACTTGCAAGTCTAGAGAAAATATACGGAAGATGTAGCGTCATAAGACGACTGTTGTACCTAGCTAACACCACCTCCGAGTTGATAAAATTTCACGAGATACGTAATCTCAAGCGCTAGATTGCCTGAGCCGGGCTTGTTCAGTGAAATGGACGCAGAACAAAAGGTCGTCACTGCGGAACCGGTAATGCTCGATTCGGGATTGTGGCGGGCGGCGCTCCGGTCTGCAAATGTTCGTGTCAGCCGGAAACTAGTGCATTTCTCGATTATGTGAACTCAGCTTTATGGATACCGTTGGCTTTGTAGTTAATGAATTATTAAGTCTTGTATCGTGAAGTACAATATTAAAGTATATAAGTACCTATGTCGCTAGAACGGTTATTACATTGAATTCTAAATATTTTTTTAAGTATGCTATTTCATAGTTAATTACATACTGATATTGCTTCGCTTTTCTTTGATTGCGACTTATATTTTCTACAAAATGTAATAATTTGTATTCATGAGTAGGTATGTCTGTGTTGGTTTGAGTGTTTTTATAATATGTATTTATTAACAAAAATATTTGATTATATACTTTTATATTGTCGCATTAATAATTTTATTCATTTATGCTGTCTTCTAATATAAAAGGAGGTCATTTTTTTTCATTATTTTTATTTTATGCTGACGCCGCATGGCGTGTTTACGCCACACTTTATATATGATTTACTGTTTGTGTTGTGATTTCTTGATGGAACTCAATATAAGAATTATAGTGATATTATTTCGTAATTAAACCATTGTAACTAAGTATTAGTTTCTATTCGAGATTTCGTCCATGTGAACAGAATATCATTACCTTTTTTATCATTTCAGTCGTTAGTTGTCCACTGCTGAACATAAGCCTTCCCTATAAGGAGAGTTTTGCCAGTAGTTGCCACGCTTGGCAGGCGAGTTGGTAACCGCAGTTAGGTTTTTAGAGATGTGTTAAGAGGGACGTTCAGACAGAGAGGGACTAAAATATATTTATTATTAATTCACAGTAATTGTTTTTGTTTTACTAGGATAACAGAAAAAACGGTGAGGTCACAGTTCCTTGCATTCTTCAGCTTCACGTCGTTGAGCAACACACAGGGCGTGGGGTTTCATCCGCGAGGTGGCTCTAGGATACCGCATACAGGTAATTAAAACTTTTTCTTACCAAATATTTTATTTAAAATGTACTGTTTATGATATAAATGTTCATTATAAATTATCAGCTACTATTTGATGAATAATCTTATCGAAAAGTATATAAAGTTCAGTGACACAACTCACAAAATAATTAAGGTATTCTTATAGAGTAAGTCTTAATATTACTTTAAATAATAATAATTAAGCAAACGATACTAAAACGGTGTTGGAAGTCCGTTTAGAATGGAAGTTTTTTAACTTACCATAAAGTTAAACAAGAAATATAAAGCAGTCAAACATAGAAATAAATCTTAATAACGTAAAATAATGTCACAATACAATGACACCTATTTTGTGGCATGAAGTAACCACCGGTCGTTGTTCTATTTAATGTCAACGATCGATTTAAACCATTTATTTATAGACTTCTTGAAAGAAATTTATTAAACTGTCGTGTGTTCTAAAATCAATATTCTAAACATGTTTTATATAAAAAAAAGAAAGTTGCATAGTACTCATATCGACTATATAATTCTATAGTCTTTATTGCTGAATCATCTCAAGATTTTTTATAAAAAGGACTTAAATGTAGCGGATTTTGGTGCGACCCTTGTCAGTTTTGCGTACATTTCTAATAATTACTGTATCCCGATATCTTTTTCTAAGAGGAAACCGAAGAAGTTAATAAGAATGTCACTAAGGCACCTTACGATTATACTTAATTATGCCATCATCATTTCAGTGATCTTGCATTATTCAACTGATTATGAATATCCCCATAGAGTGTCACAAATGATGGTCTCATACATATCTACATTACATACATTTGATATTTAGTAGGGAAGTTCCCCTAATACGGAAGGGAAATTGTAAACTTTTTTCCCATTAGTTATCAGTATTATATTCCTATTCCCATTTTCCTATTACAATTAGGCAATTCTAATAAAATTGAAGACAAGTTCTTTTGTTTAATATCAGTTATTTGAATTCTTGTAATAATGTTAAAACCGTGGCATAATTATAAATCAAATAAAACAAATCTTAGAAATATCAAAATATTCGAACAATTCACCTGTTCGGTATTGTCGTTTATTGTTGTAAAAGTGTATTTATACTACAGTAAAAAAAAAAAACTACTTTCATGAAGCTACTTACATTGTGGGTATACTACATATTACAATTTAACTCGAGTATTGGTAATTAGATTGTAAATTTTATTTGTTAAAACTGACTATTACTTTTCTAGTTATAAAAAGTAATAATAGGACACCAATAAATAATTAATTGGAACAGATGAAAGAAACATTAGATGTCATGTCATATAGGAAGGTCCAAGATATGGCCAGTAATATAAGTGCTTGGAAAATAATACATGAATTAATTGCCCCGACAAGAGGAAATTCTTAAATTAAAAATAAATTATAAATTTACGTAGATAAATTCACGTACGTACTCCGCTGACTGGGAGAGGAGAATACCACTTTACATTTTTAAAATGTCAAAATCTGCGCACCCGGTGAGAATGGACGGTGTGAAATGAGCTAACCGACTTCAAAATAATTTATCGCGCAGTATGTGCATGTTGGGTTGATTTAGGTCGTTCGTCCTATATGATATACCTATATGTAATGCTACAGCATCTTTTATTTTGAATTATTATTTAAAATAATTGAACTGTATTCCTTATTCCTTCAATCGAATCACATTTATGTATGTATTTATTCCACACAACAATCTACTTAGAACAACTACTTTTGTGTCTTTTTCATAAGATTAAACTACTTAGACTAATAAATGTTTTTCTTTCCTTTTTACTTATGAATTTGCTATTAATAAAAAATATAGAACAAAATTTTCCGGCTAAGAAACAAAAACAGGTGAATTTATTGTTAAAAGTTTTGTAAGTACACTTTATATTTTAATGTAAAAACTACTGGCTTAATACGTGTAATTAGGCGGAGAAAGCTCAACTAGTTTCGGGACTATTCGGGGCCCATACTCGTGAGCGGCTGTAATGCGAAAGTTTACAACAGGCGCGCTTTCAGGCATTGAATGTAAGTTAAACCAGTTAAACCACATTCAAAATGGTGAATTTGGAGAAAATATTTGTTTGGTGAGGTTTATAGAATGAATGCGGCAAACTTCTCTGATTTGCAGTGTCCCGTCCAACGCAATGAAATACTACAGCACTGCGTCATTACGTGGCAAGGGTGCAAAGTAAATCGGAAATGTTGAAAATTAATTCAATTTTTTTACATCGACACATTTAATGGTTTGTCGAGAGCTGTTTCCGGGTGCGATTTCCGCCGCATCAATGTTTGTTCATATGTATGGACAAATGTTTATTTAGATAATGGAATACTCATTTATTCTTAACTTTTAAATTTTTGTATTGTATGGTTTATGGTTTATAAGAGATGGGAATTAATTTGATATTTTAGGAAAATTATTATAGGTTTGTACATTGTGTTGAAATTTTAAGTCTGAATACTATAATATACATAGCTTAAGTAGACGTAATAACAAACATAGGATGCACTAGACTGCATTCAATTGGTATAGATATAGGTATAGATCAAGAAACCTAGTAATATATCACCAAATAAAATGCGGAAGTAAAAATGTATATCTATTTGTAGGAATATAAAAGGATAATTATAAAAATAATTTGATAGACAGGCTTTTGACCTTCGATTTTCTCTATTGAACTTGTTTACGATTTACTTAAAAATAGATGTGTAGTTTAGATACTTCATTGTTTTGGTTTTGTGGATACTTAATCCTTTTTTACTTTATATTTACTGATATCAGTGTCACGTCTCTTGAATTTTTCGCAGAAATAGATTTGTACTGTGTAAATTGTATGAGGATGGGATTATGAAATGAAATTATTTAATGTTACTTGTACTTGTATACTGAAATAACCACAATTTATATCTTTACAGAATTTAGATGTCTAGTATTCTGTATTAAGGTAGATAGGTACTTTTGCAACAGACTCGTTATTTCTTTATTTTATCCCTTCTGTAGAAAACAATAAGATCGCAGTAATGTGACAGTACCAAGCTCTAAAGGGGGAATTGTTTTCGCTAACAGTGAAGTGCAGTTCAGCCACGTTTCACTTCGCTTGTATATTTCCCAGCCTTTACCATTTATTTAAGCACCTACCCGTATCGAAACGTGTTATTCTGCGATAAACGTTATGTTCCCCACTAAATTAAGTAGTTTACGAGTGCCCACTTGGTTTCGTGACATTGTTATTTTTTTAGTCGACTTTTAAAAGAGGAATTACTCATTTCGATTATATTTTTTTTATGTATAAATATTATACAAATAAATTAAGCCGTAGAAATATACACTTATTTCGTGCACTTATTAGTATAAATACACAAAGTAAATATTTTTTGTAACTTATTATACTATTATTATTATTATTATAGTATTAATATCGATTTTCTAAGATTATATTTATCTATTACTATAGCGGTATAAGAATATATGACATCAGTATCAACTGTTATACCCTATCAATCATGAATTAAGTATAATAATATAATATTTAATAATATTTTCTTTATTTACGGATTACTAAGATCCATTTTTGTTAGTAACAATTGACTTAAACTAAGTTAGTAGAGAAAAAAATACAAAATTCATTTTATAGCCCCTATAATAATTTTGACCCACAATGAGAGGATCGGGCTATCGTATTTATTACATAATGCCCTCAGAATGCCGTTACTGCTGCCACGCAATCGGTATAAAAGAGATGCAATCCGTTTGCGTCTGATGGCATAGAAGTCATCTGTCCATGCCGCTGCAAACATTGTGGATGCACTACAAAAACGTGGCAGCCGTAACAACACCCTGAAAACATTATTGTATTGAACACGCAGAGCGCTGTATGCCCGCTGTGTATAGTCAACCCACAGGCTGCTCGTGTAAAAAGATTGGCAATATGCCTTGAACAATATTATTTTGACTTCAGTCGAGCAACGAGCAAACCTGCGAGCCAACATATTACCCCTTACAGCCAGCGCCCTGCGTTCACGTTCAATGTCAGCGTTATCTTTCAAGTCATCGGTAATAATATGTCCTAGATATTTAAACTGAGTCACTCTATTGAGAGGAACACCGTTTAGAAGAATTGGCGGGATTTGTGGATTCTTACTACCTAGACCGAAATACATAAATTCACTTTTTTGTGTATTATATTTCAGACCATGTTTTTCAGCATACTTTTCACATACGCTTAGCAATTTACGTATAGCTCTGATTGATGGACTCAGCAGCACCATGTCGTCAGCGTAACTCAAGTTATTCACAGCAATCCCGTCTATGTAACAGCCCGCATGCATACTGCTGAGCTCAGCGATCAGGCTATTCATATATATATTAAAAAGTGTAGGCGAGGATATACCGCCCTGTCTCACCCCACACTCCAATCCATACTCTTCAGATATTTTATCCGCCCATTTAACAACGTTAATTTGATTATCATACCAATACTTAAAAATACCAATCAGTTCAGTAGGAATATTCAGCTTTTGAAGTTTGTTCCACAGGATCTCATAAGACACCAGGTCGAAGGCTTTTGACAAGTCCAAAAAGCACGCGAGGACTGGTGTCTTTCGTTCTAAATAATACTTGACAGTCTGCTTTACACTGTATATAGCACTCTCAGTAGAAAGTCCAGGCTGGAAACCAAACTGTGCCTCATGTATTTTAACATTTCCCCTGAGATGCGCATTAAGCAGACTGTCAAGTACTTTCGCCAAGATAGTGGCTAATGAAATGGGGCGGTAGTTACTTTTGTCACAAATATCACCCGTCCTACACTTGACAATTGGCACAACAACAGTTCTCATGAGATCCTGAGGCAGATAGCCGTGTCCCAAGCATAAAGAATAAAACATAGCCAACACTCCGGGCAAATGACACCCTGCATACTGAAGGTGTTCAATGCTCAGGCCGTCATGCCCAGGTGATTTGCCCCTTGTCATATTCATTATTATATTTTTAATATCTTTAGATGTGATTTGTATACTCCTATGATCCTCATAATTAATATTTTTCTCTATATATTGCGCAGCATACAAAGTAGATAAAGGTGAACTTAATTGAAAGTGACTTTTAAATATATTCGCAATTTTCTGTGGATCTCTTTCTGTATTAATACATTCAGCAAGGGTTTGTTTAACATTAAATTTATTTGTACATTGCCAAAATTTTTTGAAATCTTTTTCTGAGAGTTTAGTTGCCAAAATATCCATCGCAATCTGGTCGGCATGATTTTGGCACCATTTTAGTCTAGATTTGTATATTCTACGACTAATAAACATTTTTTCATAAAGGTGACCAGCTGATGGCCTACCATGCCAGACCCAGTTTTTGAAATGAAACCTGGCCTCCAAATATACCCCTTTTACATGTTTATTCCAACCTACTAATGGTTTTCTGGTTTTCATTTTATTAGTACAATTAATATTATTACATACTATAGCAGATTCTTGTAAAATGTTTACTATATTTGAATACATTTTATCTAGTAATGTGCGGTGCTCTAAATTACAACAAAACTTATCTGCACACCCTTGAAACTCTAGTGGAAATTCTATAATTTTTAATTTATTATTACATACATTACGGTATTGTTCAGTTTGTTCAGGAGTTCTGTCACCCCATATTATTTTATTAGGTGTGTGTGTCCTTATATTTTTTTTATATTTAACTACGCTAAAATTACATTCAATCTCAAGAGGAAAATGATCCGACCAAAACACATCATATTGAATTTTAATTTTAGTGATCATTTTACTACCTACCTCTGTTGTAACGCAATGATCAAGCCAACGAGAACAACCGTGACTATCACTAACAAATGTGTAGGTACCTGAGTTAAGTCCTAGGTGCTCTAAATCCGCACACCGCCACTGCTGTTCTGTACAGAATGCCATAAGCTCATCATGGAATAGTCCTCCAGGATGTGCGTTGAAATCACCCAGTATGAAAACCGCTTCTATGTCACTGCTATCTATAATTGCACATATTTCACTTAAGCACTGCGTAAATTCGACCAGATTTTCAGTACAATCAGTAGGCATGTAAACACAGATTACTAATACGGTGCATTCACTATTAATCACAACCCTACAGGCGAGTAAGCGATCACTATCACAATCCAGCATAGTTACGGATAAGAATGCATTTTTTCGCCATAAAATGGCCACACCACCATAAGGTCTTCCTCTTAAAACTCCCGCTGATGTGTCCACTGCAGATTTGCCAGCATATGCATAGTCATCGCCCACTGTACCCAACAAAGGGATGTCGTGAGGCAACAACCAGGTTTCCTGTAGTGCTACTATATCTGCCTTACCACACAGGGACCTAACACAGTCTAAAGAACGCTTCAAACCTTTGCAGTTGAAGCTTATAATTTTACTATTATTGTTATTCTTCATATTGGTTTTTTACTTGTTGTCATATCCGGACGTCTGTCCGCGGTTTCGTACCTCCTGTGTACAAACCGACGAAAGACAATTCCTGCAGGCCACAGTGTTTCATCCAGAAATATTGACAATTTATAACTTGGTACAAAAAATTTGTAGGCATTATACTTATTTTCATTTTTAATCAACAATTTAATAAGTTTCACTTGTTCTCCCGTTTTTGTGAAAATATAATCAATAATATTTTGTTGTGTAGTTTCCTTATGTATATTGGTAATATGTATAGGCACATATTTTTCCGCTGCCTTAAAATTTAGTTTTCGGTCACAAATTGCATTTCCGACCTTTCCAATAAACCGATTTCTGTTACTCTTATGCCTCTGTACCAGGGTCCAATTTTCACTATTTTTGACTATATTCCCGTTAACATTTTCTTGATGGGCCGTATCTGCCACAGTTAATGTTTTTTTTAAGGAAACTATACAATTACTAGTTGTATTATTACGTGATATTGGTGACTCAGACACTAGCGCATCGCTGAACTTTGTACTTAAAATCGGTGAAGCAACGGGCGGCTGGCCGCCACCCGCTTTTTTATTTATCATGTCAGCTGATTTATATTGTGTACTTTCGCACAGGAGTATCTTGCTATCACTATTAACCGATTGTTGCAATTGACAATGGGCGGGAGAATTATCCAAGTTAGCAGTATTATTGCTATTATTTAATAATAGGCCCATCGGCCCGCTGTCGGATTCGCAATTTTCAGTATGTAAATACCCTCCTCTTCTAGTGTTGATATTACAATCGAAATTGTCGACGATCGGTGTTACATTTTTGAGATCCGACTTTAGTTGATTCACTTGTTCTATTGTCGCATAATTACTTTTAATAATTTTGAGATCATTTTGCATTAAAATAATATCTTTTAACAATCGTGTGACATCAATATGATCGAACGTAACGGGGGGTAGACGATGTAATTCTTTTGCCACAAAGATTGGAATTTTTTCAGGATCTACACCTTTTAAAGTGCTAATAATGTCTTCAATATTACGTTGACATTTTTTATCGCCTTTCCGTGTTATTTTCTTGACTGCAGAAATGGAGTCTAACAGCAAATCTTTCGCCATTTCTATTTCTTCCTCGGTGAAAGCGCCTATACACAAGCGCAATATACTTTCTTCATCCATTACATCAATTTTTGACTGTATGAAAGCTAGTGCCTCATTAATAATTATGTTACAGTGAGCACATTTTACAGCGGATGACATTTTTGACAATAATTTACAGACAGGACAATAATTTACAGATTATAAAACAGGTAATAAGTAATTATATACATAAATATCAAAACATTTCAATACAAGTAAATACATTTGAGTACGAGTAAGTTCGAGATGACGATAAAATTAATGATTGAATGATGATTTATAATATTTGAATATTAGAGAAATAGTTCTTAACAGGATCACGATACGCAATGTTCCGTAAGTCTGTCTCCAAGTCCTATAGGATTGTCAAATATATCACTATTTATTTTTCTGTACAGTGAGAATGTAATGAGGTTGGTTGACAACCTACAGCCATAACGTTAAAAAGAATTGTTTTTGTCACAGACTGCGACTGGCTTTACCAGGACGTATCCTGCCGGGGTGCTGGGTCGTGTGTGCTCGCAAGTCCCGGATATCCCGGCCTGTATCCACCACACCGGCGTTGTCGCTACCTCTTCGCTACCAATTCTGTCAATACAAGAGTCAAGATCATCTTCACATCTATACTACTTCCAAGAAAGTAAGTAAAATTCAATTATTTCATGTTTAATATATCGATATTCTTCACTGTACGTTTACCCGAAAGTATAAATTAGTGATAAATGAAATGTTATCAAAATGGATCATAATATCAATCATAATAATAATAATATTAAATTGAAATTTAAAAATACCAAATAACAAAGAAATAAAATATTATTTATGACTCCATCGCGTGATTCCGACAATTCTGCCAATATCAAAGTTGTAACAGAAAATTATAAATAGGTGTTTTGGGACTGTATTATGCTTATACGTATATAAGCTTTAACTCCTGATTTCAGTCCCTCAGGAAATGATTTCTCAAAAATGTTGAAACATATCTCTCTTATATTACGAGTCTAAATGTAAAATGTTGATTCAAAACGTGTAACAATTTTTCATCTTCGAAATATTTTGTGGAGATAAGGACTGTGTCCTGGTGTTTATAACTATACAATTGAAATTTACCGTCTATTTATTATAATGTTTATTACCAGAGGGAGACTTGGTACAAAAGTCATTTGCTTGGGTACCTCTGTCTTATTCGTGTTTCAACCATAAAGCAGTTGTGTATACATGGCTGTGTTGCGGTTTGAAGGGTGGGATATGGCGTGAATTTACAGGGTACAGAGGAATAACACCTGAGTTCTCAGGAATGGCAACGCATGGGGAGTATCATAGGCGAAACAGTATACTCTGTTATGTCTATGGTACTGCTCATGTCTATAGGCGACGGTTACCACTTTCCATCGTTTTATAAAGAAATTGTATTTATTGTATAAAAAAAAATTATAAATTTAAATATTATACATACATACATACATATCTGTCACGCCTGCCTCCCATTATGGTAGGAAGAAACAATGGAATGCCAAATGCTTCGATTCAAACAAACCTCTTTCGCTTCTTCCACATTTATCAATCTTTTCATACAGGCTCGCCGGTTACGGGTATTTTTAATTTGGCCCTTCTTCAGCACGTCTCCTATTTGGTCAACATACGTCTAGGGCGGCCCCTACCGACATCTCCATTCATTCTTGCTCGATAAATCTCTTTCGTAGTTCTTCTTTCATCCATCCTCTCCAAATGACCAAACCAACGCAACATTCATTCATTCATTTCAAATTTAAATATATGTTATATGCCACAATAAGTTACAAATGCTTATAATTTATTGTCATAGTTTTAATTTAATTACAAATATTAATTCGTTTCATCAGTTCCTAATTAGTTATGTCGAATACCATTTTCAGTTTATTTGTTCTGAATATGGCATTAAATATTGACCAAATAGAGTATTTGTATTACTATATTTAACTGCATGCGGTTCGTACTTGCTTTGATATTATTCGGTTCGATTTTGTATATAAAAAGAAACAGAAGATTCATTTGCGTTATTGGTATACATTAGTGGGATACCACTATAGGATGATAGGTGTAGATAAATTCAAGTCTGTCGGTCAATCGCTACTTCTTACTTCTTAGAGCCTTAATAGTTTAACTAATCATGAAGTTCGGTATAATTGTTCTATAGTTATACAGGATAGGGAAGGACACAGGCTTTTTTCTTTTTATCCTGGTCAGTGATGATCCCGGGCAGTGAACAAAGTTATGGATAAAAGCAAGTTAATAATATTTTCCGTTCGAAATTTAGTCTGATATGGTATATTGTTAGCAATGGGAGCGCCGGTTCCCATTAAAAATATTTATTTATAATGAGATTCATCCCAATCGCGTTTTTTGGTTTACCAATCAAATAATACATATGGTAAGTAGGTAAAAGAGAGAGCTGCGTATAATATTTCATCTCGACTTTATTTTTTTTTTTTAATTAATAGGAATAGTTATTTCTAAAGGTAATTATTGTTATTTAAAAATTGTGATTAAGGAAACTTAATTAATTTGTTACCTCATCAAAATTCCTATTGTCGACGTTATTTGTTCTAAAATTAAATTCTCCTATTTGATTGGTTTTCTAAAACACAGAGTACAATCTGTAATTTATTTTCTTATATAGTTCTTATTCTATGAATTATTTTTTCTCAAAGGCTCTTATATTTTCAACTAGCTCTATTTCGGCATTGCCTGTAATCGTATCGTAGTGTTGAATAACGTAGTTATTAAATGAAAAAAGAATTTCATGTGGGCAAAGTTGTGCGTATTCTAAGAATTTTTCAAACCCGACTGGTAGTTCCAGATATTAATACGTTCAAACGAATTTAGAATAGAAGAATTGAGAAATTTAGAATTATAATAGCGCTGTCTTGGTGACGTGAATATAATGAAAATATTCCATTTTATGAAAACGAACATAGCATAAAATGCTTTAATAATATCAACAAAGGCAACTCTCATCGAGCGCCCGTATGAAATTCAAACACTCTTGTCAGCGATAAAAGCAACCATCCTATCTCTTTTAGTGAATGGACATCGGTTTTATTTAAAATTTACATTGAAATTAAACTTTTGGAAATTATTTTATACATATTCGGAATTATATTCATATACATTAAATAGAACATATCAAAATATAAACACAAACAAGAAAACATGACCCGGAAATGTCGGTCCACCGATGTCTAAAAATTCGATTAGTTGATTGTTTCGATTTCTTACTTTCATTTAAGAGTATCTCAAGCACAAATCCAGTCCTTAAAACAAGGTTGTGGTCACAGCCACCTGAAAATCGGCCAAGTGCAAGTCGGTGTATGAATTCGCTCAAGATCGATATAGTGCATTCGTACAAACGAGATGTCGTCTTGACCAACATTTTATGCAGTGTATAGTTTCATGTGGGCAAAATTGTGGGACGAATAGTAATAAACCTGAAAAATGTTAATTCTTTTGCTCATGAAAGTTACAAAGGTATTAAAAGTATGAAGGCATTGGATATAATATTATCAGGCTATCTACTTCAATTGATCGTGAAAGTGTAACGTCACAAGTATACTAGTGTTATGTTCATCGTATCCATAACTTGGTGCATGAGTGTGTATGGTATTTCTGTGATAATTAAAATAAAATTTTATTAAATTTTCATTAAGTTTTATTACTCGTTAAATGGTTCTATTGAATGTCATTCTATTTTAAATGAACTTCAAAATATATATATATATGTATGTATTAAATTATCGACTCTTCTCGTTGGAGTGAACGTCACATTTGCCTTGTTCACTGAAATCAGTAGGCATGTTCACGACGGTTTCCAGGGAAAACCACGTGGAGGTCGACCTGATAGGGCATATTGCTAGCAATGGGGCTGTCAAACTCCATTGCTAACAACCCCTTTCCCCCCTCTGTATTGTGGTTGTATACGCCTAAGTAACAGATACTTTATATACCTAAGTAGGGTACTGATAAAAATATAAATTTTTAACGAAGGAGTTTCTCAATTCATCTAGATTTGTTTTCGTACACTAAACGATATTTTAGTTAATTTTGTATTTTTTTTCTTTGCAGTCGTTAGAGTTTTCTTTTGTGTTAATTGGATATTTAATTTGTTACATTGTATCCAATGTTATATTTTTGCGAGCAAATTTATTTTTGCACTATGAAATCTTTACATAAATCCTTAACAGAATTCTATATATAATACATACTGAAAATGAATAAAAAGATACCATCATATTTACCTCCATTTAAATTTCCGTTTACCGTTGTGTTTCCGAAGCGGTAGTACGTTTTCATTCCATTTTCGGATTACGATTTGGTGTGTCCAGCGATCTATTTATGTGCGTTATATTTATTTCGACATTTTGTATTATAATTGCTGCTTGTCACGTTTATTTTTTAAAATTTCGTATGCTAGTAGCATGTAATAAATTCGACATATCTATTTTTTATCTCTACTTATTTACTTACCTATCGTTACAGCATCATAACTTTCGCGGGTAGATACTTTACAGGAAAATATAATACGATGGTCCTTCCAAATAATATTTATTTGTTTAAATTTTATTGACCAATAAAATGTAGTATAAAAGGTGAATTTAATACTATAGGCATTTTTTAGGATTTAGAAGGTGCAAAGATGGCGTTTTAACTAATAGAATAAAATTATATATTTAAAAAAAAAATTATTACTGTAACTTATTTATTATAAAATTAATAATATATACACATAGTGAATTCGTATATACAATCAAGATAATTACATATTAATATCTTACTTACTTATACTTTTTTTTATTATTCCGATTTTATTATATATAAAAAATATTAAAAGTATTAATGTTGTATTAGATTTTTAGTATTTTTTATGTTATTGGTATTCTTGACCAGTCAACCATTGTTTTACTATATTTTCCACATTTAGTCCGATATTACACAGTAGTTTGCAGCGCCTGCCTACTTCGGCGTGGGAGTTATCGTAGTTCAATGATTGCATGAAACTATATAACGTCGGGTTTACGACGCTCGCTCGATTATGATCCAGGATTACTGGCCATTCCACCATTCCATTTGGAGCTGACTATTTCGTTTTTAGTGCCCATATAAATTGTTCTTAATACGTTATGATGACCTCATATTATTTCATGGCCAAAATTATATAGAAACCGACCTATTGTAATTGATAACAAGATGCCTACAGTTATTATTTATTCTGCTGAACATAGGCTTCCTCCTATTAGTGGGGTTTAGCTAGTAGTTACTATGCTTGGCAGGTAGGTTTGAAACCACAGTTAGGCTTTGGTGATGTTTAAAAAAGAACGCCAATGTCCATCCCTCGATTATTAAATTTCCTTACTTGCCTCTTACGACACCGATGAGAAAAGAAAGGGTGGACCATTCTAAGCTGAGGTCACATATATATATGTATGTTAGATTCCTACATAGGGTGAAATGAAAACTATTAAGTAGCATTGGTTTCGAAAAAGGTCATCTATCGATTCTTCTAAACTAACACGGTGCGTCCTAGTTTGAGGTTAGTATGGGAGACTCTTTTTATCATTTTCTATGCAATATTTCTTTGGAAATAATATCTAGTTTCAATAGTTC